CTGGATGATTTTCAGAGAGAGGATGATGACTAGTAGCACGTTTTGTTTTTTGAGCACGAGATATTCGCGCCGATGTCTTTTTCGATTTTGGTTTCTTGGGTTTCATATCTTTTACTTTTTGCGTCTTTGTCTCTCAATGAGTCAGAAACGTCTTTCCAAACGTCTCTGGCTAAATCTATTCTAACTGATCACTCCACATCAAGCTATATATGTGGCATGTTGCCTATTGAATTTCATGGCTACTATGAGGTATTCCTTCGAAACTTATCTCCGACAACACTTACGATATGAAGGTGTAAATATTGATATAAATTCCGTTGTTCCTGGCCTCTGTTTGTCCAATTATGTATATATGTACTTTTACATATGCCTAACCTATTTCAAACTCCTACAATTTCTTTGACAATACAATTGACGCGTCAGCAGTTCTTTTCCGTTTTGTTTTGATTTTTTTCTTTTTCTTTTTTTTTCTGTCATTTGTTTTGATATTTTTTGTTGGATTTTGGTTTCTATTCGTGCGGAGCATTCATTTTCGCCGTGGGGGGAGATGTAAAGAATAATGACCTCTCCTTCAACCGACTCTCATATTCACATACACTCTATCAATATTCATTTCTCCGTCCGTCACTTTCTTCCTCCTCTCCTTGTTCAGTACATACGTTCACTCTTTCCATTCACTCTCTCATTGTTCATTCTATCTCCCTCCATTCATATTTCATCTCTCTCCTTTTGTGTGTACGTTAATCACTCTCTCTTTGTTACTTGCACTATATATACTCATTGTACAGCACTTACAAGTCAGTCTATTTTATAATAAACTCAGTAAAGGCATCGTTTCCTTTACAATCCCGACATATCGCAGTGTGACAACGGATACGATAAGTTTTTTATCGCGGGGAAGACGCTTTTTTCTATCGGAAAGGTCCTCAAAGGTAGTTTGTAGAGGATCAGATGCTCTGTAAAATGCACGATAAAAGAATCTGGTCAGAAACCGTTTTCGGGTTCAAAATTGACTTCTGAGCAAAATTATAATGTTTGTCTCAAGCTAATCGTTTTTTTGTATTTCACATCCTGCTGCGCCTTGACTAAATAAAAGAAGATAGCTAAGCCGCCTCTGCCAGTTGGCGAATTAACTCTCTGGATGTGAAATATTTCTGAAATTTTGTAAGACCGTTAGCCGCGGAAATTCTCACGCGTTGATCTTTCTCACCCACGAAGGGGTCATCCTACGAAGAGAAAGGTATTTTTTTATTCAATTGTTAGTTAGTTAGTATAATGTACCGCTCTCATGCACGTACAAACCCAATATGAGCGGCGGATCATGCTCAATATGAACAGAAATAAAAGTAAGCTAAACAAGGCGTAAAAGGAAAATGCCAGGAGATCTTAGCCGCTTACCTTCAAGGTGTGGTTCGACCTAAAAAGAAAGAAAGCGTGGATCCGACTCGGGACGAAGACCCATCTCCTTTTAGAATCGTTTTTTTTTAATATTTTGTTTTGTTTTTTTGGGTCCTTTACACTGCGTACACAATCTGAACCAACTCTCAGGATGTAAGGTAATATAAAGGATTTGAAATTTTTTAGTTTTTTTTGAGGTCCCTGCACACTGTCTCACTCATCTAACTGTGTCAGTTGCCTGGCTGCTAGTTGTGATAAAAAGTCTGAACGGTTTTGAAATTTTGTAAAGTTTTCCAAAATCAAAAGTTCGCAAATGCAAACAAAGACAGAAAATAATTAGCACACAACGAAAGGAGAATCGTAATATCTGAATAGTGAAAACACAAACTGCTGCCGGAAGGTCCAGGCTTCACTACCCAATCCATATAATAATAATAACTATCCTTCGGCAGTTGTACCAAAACTTCTTCTCTAGTTCGATCTTGATTTACCGTACGCATTTGATAAGACTTATAAGCATCAACTGGTTCTTTCAATAGCTTTAATTTAGCATTGGCCTCGTCGTCATCAGTCACTTACCCTCTACCAGCAATGTTTTTATCTCTATAAATGTGTTCGCTAAAAGAAGGCAATCTTTGCATGTATTACTGTGATCATGATTGCACTTAGAACGAGATGCCTTGTCGGATGGATCAGATAGAGCGTGACAAATACAGTGATCTGATATATCACTCGACTCAGAAACATGTAGCTTGAAATCACTTTTCAAACAAAAATCTTTGAGCTTCGGTAGACAGGAGGTTAACATTTTCAATCATCTTGAGAATGATGATAATCATACGGGCTAAGATACTTCTATCGAGTGAAAAATAATCCAGATGCTTCGATCATTATTATGCTCGCTAATAGGAATGGCTGTCTCTTTTTCGCATCAATTGACTGCTCGTGGTTGCCTAGTCTCTTTTCATAAGAGTATGACATCTATATTCCAAGTCTATCACTATTGAAAGATGGAAAGGTCTACGGAATCTTTGATCGCTTGACCATCTTCAATTCGAATATTGTACTGGGACTGGCTCTTAATATTAGATATTGGTTGTTACAAAAGGTTCTCTACCATCCGTATGTACTCAAACTGCTCATAACCTACCTTTTGTTGACTCGTAGTAAACTGTATGACTACATTTATTTCGATCAAACTGTGTATCCAACATAAACGCATTTCCATCTGTTATTGCCAGTAAATCGTTTTTACATGTAGCTGAGCAAGTAGCACTCGTCATCCAAAGCCTTTTTGTATATTCATCTGTCGAAAAAGATGGTTTTTTTGACCGATTTTGTCTTTCCCGTACGTTTATTAATGTAATGTCTGAGGTAATTGGTTTGCATTGTAATGTTAAGATACTTCGAGTTAGAGAGTGTTGAACGAATGTATCAGGACGTATGACAGTGGACGTATACTCTTCTGCCTTGGTATATAATGCAGAGCTAGAGACAGGTATCAATTGATCTGCAGTTACACATATAGCCATTACTAAAAAATTATATAGTAAGTGTAAACTTATTTCCTATTAAAGAATCCTAATAGTTCTTTGTTTATATAAGCTTTATTCTATCAGAATACAAGAGAAAAATATTCCATTATAGTATTCTAAACCAAAACTATCAAAAACACAAAATTAATTTTTGTACGAATAGAGATCCGAACACACATAGTTCTTTGTTCTTCACAAACAATAATCTCCCATAATAGTATTAGCAAAGTGCTTTGAGGATACTACAGAGTTACCCGGAAATACTCATTTGATGAAATAATTATTTGTATGAATTGCGCCGCTGTTGTACCGTTTGAAGTAAAAATCGATAAAAAAAAAGTGAATATGAAGAAAATCTTAGTCGTACATTTGATAGAGCTCCATTTATGGTATACAAATCAAATATTTTCCCAACTGTCAGTTTTTCGTTTCGGAAAAAATTGGGTTTTCTTGAAAATCAATATTTTCTGAGGTTTCTTAACAAAATAAAATTCCTAAATTGATATTTATACATTGTTGTCATAAAAAATAGATGAAAAAAGAAAACATTTAAGCTTGTGGGTGAGCGGACACTACTATCTTTTTCAATGAACGTGCACTTGTGTATCTTGCGAATAACTTTTTAACTAAAAGAGCTAGCGACTTGAGGTCCACTACAAAGAGTGGAACAGCTCGTCGCTTATGGTTATCAGAAAATTTTGATATTAAAAGTTATTCTAAAGTACGTGCATCAACAGTCGATAAGACACCCGATATTCTTACTCAGACAACTCGAATAGTAAACGCATTAGAAACAAATAATGAACGTACAGTGAATAAGATTGAAGTCATGGAACAAATGGTAAGAGATAAGCAAAAACTCTTAAGCATGAAAAGGTCGATCGCCCAAGAAAAAAGCCCTGATTTATCTAATTATTTTGGTATTGAATCACAGGACATTAGATTAGACGATTTAGATGATATCGGCACAAAAAAAGTTGAAGAAAGTAAGTGAAATACATTAATTCTACAACAGTTTACAATATTAAAAATAACAATGCCACAAAATGTAATAAACGATTTTCTGGATTTTCGTAAGGCATTTGACTCTGTCTGGCACTCTCGTTTGCTATATAAAATAAAGCAAAAAGAAGTGTCAGACAGGATGATCAAATGGTTCACATCGTATTTGACTGATCGCATAATAGATACTACGCTAAATGAACAAAAATCAAAATCGCGGAAAGTGAAAAGGGAAGTGTCTTAGGGTCGCTCCTCTTCTTGATATATTTATTGACTATATTTTTTTTAAATTTAAAATCTACTGCTAGATTATTTGACGATAACATTTTGTTACATTCAACGAGTTCTGCATTGCAAAAGATTACGGACAACCTAAATTACGACTTAGAATAATATATAAATAGTCAAAAAAAGGATTATTTATCACTAGGTATGTTACAAACCCAAACCTAACCAAAGAATTGGATTCGGGTTTGTAACATACCTATTTATCACAGTTTAAGAACGTCACTTTAGCAGATCTTTTTGGAACTCGTGTTTTTGTCATGTCTTATTTCAAAGAGACTTAGCGGACTTAATGTTTTTGTTATTATTCCATGTCAGCTTTTTGACAGATAGATTTGAATATAAAAAATAAATGTGTACCGATAACATTCTCACAAATTCCAATTGATACAGCGCTATTCTCTCTCATTATTAATGAAATATTCTTCTTCTATGTTTTTTCACACAAATACTTAGGCATTTTTTCACTTCAGAACTTAAATGACACACACATTGACTATGTTCATAACTGGTGTAGTAAAATTTTGTATTTGACGCATCAACAAAAATATTTACTTCAGACCCCTGTTCTTAATCAAGTTTATAAGGATTATGTGTACCCGATTTTTATCTACGGGTCATGTGTTTATACAAATACGAGTGTTAAAAATCTATCTTTACTCACATCTCTACAGTAGAAGTTTTCTCTTTTAGCAAGTGGATGTTTGCGCTTAACAGGAGACAAAAAACTCCTCGAAGTTTTAGGCTGGCATGCATAAAGTTTATCTCGGCCGAGTCCCACTACGTAGTGTTCACAGTTTATTTTGAGTAGTTTTCGTTGACTGATTGCATTCTTATATTATGTAATTATACGTACATGGTATAGATTTCAACAGAAATTCGAGTTTTGTGTTACTATATCCTAATAAAACTGGACGAATGAATTTTTTATTGCATTTCTAGTGCATTGTGGTTCATATTGAATCTTTCGTTATCACTCAGCATATCTAGACAATATTTTCAGTCAAGGGACCCTTGCAGCACTTCATGTGCCTTACTTGTTTTTAAAGACTTTTGTTTTCTTTTGAAAAGCATTTTTGATAGAGAGACTATCGGTTAAAAACTGACCGTGGGTTCGACGAAAATGCATTTTAAAAGAAAACAAAAATCTTTAAAAACACCTACTATATCTAATCCTGTAGATCTGCTGGTTTAAACAGTTTTGTAACTCATTTTTACGAAAATACAAACCATTTCTTGTAAATTTTTGAAAAACATAAAAAACCCGTGCATGCCTAGCTGGAAGTCCACATTTAATTTTGACCATAATTCTAACTATCTCAATGGTTCGCAACAACAAAGTATTTTAACAACTACATAGATTTTGAAAAATGATAATAATTCTATATTTCATAATTCGAAAATAACAAATAAATTTGATTTCTCTTTTTGTCCTCCTTTACCTCTAAATGGAACCAGTATTATCACCTGATTGTCCACAAAATTTTAAACAGTATAAACAAAAACTGACAGTATTGTTTACAAATAAATTAAATGTTTTTCGCTTGTACGATATAGAAAGAAAATTTGACAAAATTTTTTATCAACTGGGACATTGATTTTCACTATTGAACAACGATATATTCTCAAGAAGTTTAGACTCTGAAAGTAAACGTGCACGTGGTTTCGGCAGGAAAACTGTTCAACAGTTTTTTATTTAACTGTCACATATATCCATCTGAAAGCATTGTAAATTTTAAAACTATAACGGCTTCGATATCCTATGCTTCCCTCTCCCTGAGTTGCCTTTTCTTTTTCATAATTTTGCGCATGATCATTACACACTTATATATTGTGCTCTCATCGTCTATTAAAATTAGTTAACGTTTTGAAAGTGTGTAAATGCTATTGTTCAGTTTAGTTTCTTTTCTTTTCTTTTCTCTCATTCTATTCTTTTTTCTCTTCTTCCTTCGTTTTTTTATGTTATTTGGTAGTTAAATAGTAACAGAATATCACTGGTGCACTGGCTCCGGTTGATTTTCAGTGGTATTCTGATTTCTGTTTCCTTTATCACTATAATAAATAGATTAAACTGAACTGATTAATAACTGCGTATCCAAATAACTTTCTCTTTATCTTTTTTATTATAGGCATTATTCCATTATCTTCTCGTGAGACCTTATTTTGGGAGACCTTATTGTGGAATGCAATTAGATTTCCGCATTGGATTTCCCCACGGATGGTTGACAAAAGGTGCGAGACAATAACAGTATAAAATACTTACAAAATTAGAATAATCATTCTTTTTCTAGTCAAGTTTTTTCCTATTTGGAACATCGTAATTTGGATGCTTTTAAAAGAGTGATGGAAAGGCACTCTGCAGAAGTTATTTGTATGCGGAACGATCGTCATCAAGTACGTGTATATATATCAAAAGGTCACTCTTATTTACTCTTGATTGTTCATTTTTTAGACTCTTTTACATGTAGCTGTTATATCCTCACTAGATTATGTATTGACACGTTGGTTGTTAATGCTCGGTGCGGATCCTTGTGCACAGGATAAAGACGGTTATACGCCCGCTCATTATGCGGTAGAAAGAGATGATATCGAAAACTTAAGAGTATTAACAACCATTCACTCAAGTGTTGAACACGAATCCAGACAAATTGGAGTTGTTCCATATCATGTTAAAATGCGTGAACGTTACTTGACTTCATTATTGATTCCTGAAAAAATCAGTGGTAACTACTCTAAATTATTAACCATAGCACAACAGGTCACTATTTCTAAGGGGAGGGATACTTCCTTGTAGCAGCATATATCATTCAATTCGGAATTTTATGAGAATTTCGGGTATGCTACCGCTTTCCTAGATGATTCTTAGTGCTCGAGAAAGAAGCGAAAATTGCTTTTATGTGGAAACTAAAGCTTTTTATTCTATTTCGCCGTTTTCTCCGTCTGTATATATTCTTTTTTCGGTCCTAGGTAAAATTCCGCCTCCGCCTTACGCTCCGCCTTCCGCTCCGCCCTTCCGCCTCCGCCGTTTGGTATTTTTCCGTCACAGGGATATTCCGCCGAGAAAGTGGTAAATTTCCGCCTTCCGCCTCCGCTCATATACAAAAGTTTAGACACCTTTTTAACATGCTCGATTATCATATGTATAAGAAAATCAGAAATCGATATCTTTTAAGAACAAAATAAGAAGAACTGAGAACAAAAAGTAAGAACAATATCTGAAAAAGTCCTATTTTGCTTTTTTTGATATTCTTCTCGTTGGTTGTCTAACACAATTTTTATTTGTTTTCGGAAATGGTTCCATTTCATTTTTTTCTAAAGACATAAGTGCATATGAACGTAATTTGCTTTCATCAGATGTTATTCCATTATGATAACCTTGACCTATATGTAATTCAGTTAATACAGCAATAGCTAATAATGAATAATTATTTAGATGCCGTCCGCCTTCGTTCATATACAAAATTTTGGACAACTGATTCTGTTCATATATAAAAACTGCCGTATCTTGTACAATGAACACTGGACTTAATGTCCTGGACTTATCCAAAAAGATCCAATCAAATGATTTCACCGCTTCGCTTGCTTCAAATATTTTTCTGCTTATTTTATTTGAATTCAGCATCTAAGTATGAATCGATTCGAGGCACTTTGAAGAATTTTCAAGTCAACTCCACGGCCGTCCGTGGACATCAGACTCAGAATGAGATTTCGAGCTGACAAAGCTATCTCCTCCCTGGTTTTGAAAGTAAATGTGTATTGTTATACACCATTCAAACCGCCATTCGACGAGCTACAAAAGTATGCTCGCCTTTTTTTTCTAAACCTCTTTATTTTGGAGAAGTTTTACTTTTTTTAAAAACCATCCCATATAAGTCGGAATTATGTCAGTAATTCCCAATTTTCTCGATCAGAATTCAACTTTTGAGCAATAAAAATATCATACTCAGAATCAGGATAAAAAAATGAGTCGGCTGATGTATATTTCGCAATGTTTAGTTGATTTAAAGTTTTTGGTGAAAATTTCGGTAATTTTTCAACGTGAAAATTTGAAAAAAATGAAAGTAGTCGGATAAAATAGAAATACACATCAGCCGACTCATTTTTTTATCCTGATTCTGAGTATGATATTTTTATTGCTTAAAAGTTGAATTCTGATCGAGAAAATTGGGAATTACTGACATAATTCCGACTTATATGGGATGGTTTTTAAAAAAAGTAAAACTTCTCCAAAACAAAGAGGTTTAGAAAAAAAAGGCGAGCATACTTTGGTAGCTCGTCGAATGGCGGTTTGAATGGTGTATAACAATACACATTTTCTTTCAAAACCAGGAGGAGATAGCTTTGTCAGCTCGAAATCTCATTCTGAGTCTGATGTCGACAGCCAGAGCTAAAGATATGATGTTAACGTACGTGTGACTACCTAGTGCATTGGTTCTAATACGACAGTAATGCAACGGGCAGCAAGACAATTTGCACCCGAATCATCACGGCCGTCATTGTCAGCACCACATCGGCAACGACAGTCGACAAGACCAGTACCGGTACCATCCGTGGACAGTAGTTGCTGCTGTACTATTCTATGAAACAATCTTTCTTTCGTTTTCTTAAAAAAGTATGGAGAGCTTTTTTTAGAATTATTTTCCATTACTGAGAATATTCATTTCTTCTGAATAAGATGCGAAAAATTCGCAATTGTACCCGTGATTTTCAATTTTTTTATCAGAACTCAAATTGTGTGCAATAAAAATATCATATTTGGAATCAGGATCAAAGGCTGAGCCGAATGATGTGTATTTCGATCCTATCTGAGTGCTTTAGGTTTTTGTCGAATTTTCGCGTTGAAAAAATGATCGATAATTTTGACCAAAAATGAAAATCAGCTAAAAATTTCGAGATATACATCTTTCTACAGTGATTTTGTAGAGGGGAGAGGCAGCATGAGAGTGAGTTCACTTACAACATTCTTTACCCCATTCGAAGAAGTTTTTTATTGTTGATGCTGTAGATGAGGAATGATTAATTGCGGAATAAAACTAATAATAAGTAATGGAAATAAGTAATAAGTACTAGTGATGGTTAATAATGACTAATAGTAGGTGCTGGAGATCCAAATAAAAGAATTTATTGGTGTGGGGCGGACTGCGCTCGTCAAAGATCTTGAAAGTTTTTTACTAATCAGCATGTTTGTTAGGTTCTCGGAATGTGGTGGCGAAAATGGGGCAAACATCTGCTAATGGTGTATCCTCAAATGCGTCGACCCATAATTGATAGAAAACTGATTATAACTGATAGTAACTTGATAGTAACTGTTATATGGTGAAAACGCTTTATTAAACGCGTTTTAGTTTTAGATTATCACAGGGTATCCACGGATGCCACAAGATTTTGTTTTTCTTTTTTTGTGATATCCTGCTCTTTAGTAATTGAATCTTAATCTTAATCTTCAAAAGTGATCTAATATGCTCAAAAAAGGATGGTGATTTTTCTGGCATATTATTTTGAGTGTTTACGTCACTTTTTTGGGTGTTAGTGAGTGTTCGTAACGGAAAAGCCCTAAAGAACCCTCTTTGAAATAAATTTTTTCGATGTTTGTTTATTCGCAAAGAACAGTTCTATCGACCGGCTAGCACGGATTTTAATTTGGGGGTATTAGTGGTAGT